ATTTTGAAAAAAATTCAACCTGGGTGTCAAAATTTTAATACTTCTGAAATAAAAAAGAATTTAATGTGGGAGGTATTCTAAAAAAGTTCTGTGCCATTATTCTTATGTCAATTTAATGCAGACTGACGAAACCAGAGCTTATCTCATGTATGCAGACATTTGTAGACAGATGTGATTCCATGATGCCTGAATCTTTGCCAGGACTAATATATGGTGTATTTCATCAAGTACACAGCAAGAGGGTTGGCTTTTATGCCACTGTTAGCAATATCACAGCAATACCACAGCGGAGGAAATCAGAAATGGGCTTCAAACATCATACCATAATTGGAATCGAACCCATGTGTTTGGCATGACAAGCAAACACTATAACCACTAGGCTAACCCACTACCGCTCATCACGTAAAGAAAGAAGGGATCACACACAATGATCGTGTGATGGTATCGGAGATGAAAATCTAAAAACGAATTTATCATGGCCTTGTTTACAGGCTTCGGATGATGCCAAACTGTTCTTCTATGTGAGGAAGCTTTGGGTATTACAACAGAGTTAAGTAATTAAGCCTACGACAGTCCTGTCAGCAAGTGTGTGGCAGGCCATGCATCATGGGTGCAGAAAAGGTTAAAGCCATTTGTTTTTTCAGGGCTGTTTGATGTACGTTAGACAAGGATCAGACTTGTCAGATGTCATAACTAACATTTGTCATATGTCGGCAACGGTGGCTGTCGCTTCGATGTACAGTTACATCACCGCAAGCCAACACCGCTGTCTTCACAGATCAGATCAAGGGTACTTGCAGACACACGCAAACAGTCTGTGTGTAGAACTTAATGAGTCTAGTTGGTTTAGTTTTTAAAACTTCTTCACCAGAGAACATACAAAAGGTTAACTCTACAAAAGTTTAAACATTTTGTATCAAAACATTAGCAAGGTTTTTTGTTCATTTAAGGCCAAACCATTGTGCTTCTTCCTCTACAGATTTTCTACACCAATAGGCCAAGGGGCAGGTGGTAAAAATACAAATTCAGACAAATGACTGCTCAATGATTCACAGGTCCATAGTTTGGTCTGGAAGTTAAGAGAAAACTACAAATTGTAGAGTGAAAAATAAGTTCAATTTCAGTTGAACACATGATTTTGTTACTTTTGTATTTCTTGTGGACTTTTTAGGGCAGGCTCATCACGAAAAGCAATTGGTTCTGTTCTAGAAATGATATTGCTACATATAACTCTCCAACAAAAAGCAGTCTCTGACAAACTTTAGCTACAAATGTTTACGACATTTTTAGCATTGTGTTTCTGGTGCTTCAAGAATGAAAATCAAAGAAATGACAATACATATAACTGCCATAATATCATATCAAAATTAAAGTCCCTTTCATAAGAAATTATTGTGCAGGCCAATCACACAACTCATTTCTCATGCAAGAAAACTGTGGAAGTGTTGATGCCAGAAAAAACATAATGAATTTTTGTTAGACATAAATTAACCTATCAATCAAACATATTCATCTCAAGCGACAAGAACAGATAATGCCCAGAAAGAAATATATACTCCATTCTAGATTTGAGTAAGTCCCTAAGGAATTAAAGACTTAATAAATAAATAACACTTGAATCTAAAATAACAATTATCAGTCACTGAGTTACTTGTTCCGAGCACCTTATTGAAGAACCCATCAAGACTTGCACATTACCAAGATACAATAATGCAATGACATGATCTTGTACAGAATTAGAGCAATGCTAACTTCATTTTTACTTAATAAATTGATAAGCATCTGCAGGAATCCTGGTATGTACGTGTCTGTCTCCATGCATGCAGGAGGCAGACCCACACTGTGAGGACACTCAGAGGTACATATGCTCCCCCCCACCGATCATGGACGCCACTGTTGACCACCACGAAGCATGAATAATCTCAACTGTCAGACAGGTAAGTGTCTGGGTGATTATATACATAAATTATGTACCTAATGTCGTGTTACGTTAAAGGGATGTCTATTGGTTCTAATAGCAATTAAAAAAGAATAGCTATGATTTATTTGTATATTTGTTTGTTTGTGGTTGTTTAACACCACATTCAGCAATTTTCAAGCTATATAACAGCAGTCTGTAAATAATCGAGTCTGTACCAGACAATCCAGTGATTGATATCATGAGCATTGATCTACGCAACTGAGATATAATGACATGCACCAACCAAGTTAGTGCGCCTGACCACCCGATCGCATCATTCGCCCCTAACGATAAGCATAGTCGCCTGTTACGGCAAGCATTGGTTGCTGAAGACCTATTCTAACCCGGATCTTCACGGGTCAAATAGTTTTGAACTACATAACAATGTGTAAGAATGTGAAGTGAAATAGCTCAATTACACAGAGATAACTAACATCCTCACACCTACATGGTTCTGTTGAATATACAATGCACACTTTATGCTGCATTATAGTTTCCAGCATTGACTTCTAAAACTAGGCATATCATGTCCCTTGTCCTCCACTACGTTTTAGAAATTAATAGAGAAATATCAAAAGTGATTCTTTTTAGTTTTTTTGTATTCCCTTATCACTAACTCTACCACATGACTCAAGTGTTTCGAAAGATTTCCTGGTGTCCTCCTTACAGAGAATGGTTCATGGCAGTTTTTGCACTGCATGTTTATAGGGAGTGGAGTTTCTTGTCCATTCCTTCCCTTTCAGTACAAATTCTGATATCTTTGCACACGCCAGAGGAAAAAATGGTTTATTTTCAATTTCAATTTCTCATATCACAGAGAATTTGAATAAAATTATCACATTTGATATTACAGGTCTGAAACGACTAGTTGACCAGTCGATTATTAGTTAAATGTCTGGTTGTCTAGTTGATATTCTTTCCTTGCTTTGCATGTTAATCAAGTAAAAATGTGTTGGTAAATTTACACATGACCGTAATTCCACAATTTTAATTTTTAAAACTTTGCCAAAACATGCACGGTAAAAGATGAAACATCTGGTTGTGGTGTCACAGGTAATGCTTTCAAAGTTTCTGTGTACTATTTCTTATACTTAAATGGTGCCAAAGAAGGAATCTGATGAAAAGGGAAGTCAAATTTAACTTTTGATTTGTGAGTACTTTTTATGATTAAAAAAATATACCGGTAATGCAAAGCAACCTCAATTACGGAGTGGCTCCTGTGATAGTTATTCATATAGTCACTGATACTGAGCAAAGAAAATAGAGGTATAATGAAACCCAATTCCTGAGGCAAAGCTGGCCGCGTGGCCGCTGGAAAACTCACATAAGTCCCGGCTGCGTACCCAGCCCACCCGACCGGAAGTTAAACTTATGTCACTACACAACATATACTTTATAATGGCCCCATGAACTTGCATGCCATATATGGATTGACCCATGAAAACCAACACGAAACAGTCAGTAGGCAAGTGTTAACATTGGTATGGATGTTGACATCTTAGTTGCGCCACATGCTAAATTGAAACAAGGTTATCAAACATAGGTTAAAGTTTATATTTCTTGTTTCTATGCTTCTAGTCTCCAGTAAGCGATGAAGTTTATTTAAGTGTGACATATTGAAAACCTACTTTCCATTCCAACAACACTTCACATATGAAGGCTCTTACCATCTGAATGTATTTGCAGCTTGTATTTGCAAATAACTAAATAATAATATAAAGATTTTTTTATGACATGGTGATAATGCTACACATAACAAAACAAGGTTGTCTGTGTGTATCTAAACATCAATTTTATTGTGAGATTATGAATATTTGATTGGCTGGGCAACTATGAAACATCATAATCATCAATGACAACTAAGCTTCGTAACTTAAAATTGATTTGGTTTTCGAACAAGGGTAACCGATATCATGAAAAGAAGACTTATAGGGCTGGTTGGAGTTTTAACAAGTCTTTACAACAAAACAATAATAATTCCAAAGGTTGTTGTGCAACCAACAAGTGAACTGCAGGAATTTGATAGGTGTTTCAGCCTTATTATAGTAGAAATCTGATCTTGAATCATCTTGCAGAAACGATAACAGCCTTACCCACATTGTGTTCATTGTATTACATTTAGTTACTATGAGTTTCTCAATCTTTGAAAGGTGTTATGATAATGTAAACAAGTTCACCTTCATCTAAATGCACCTTTTCCCTTTGATCATCCCCAAAACATTAGTATTTTTACAAAAATTCTGATGGTATATTATTTTCAAAAGGTTAAACTTATGCAATTGCAGCACAAATAGTTTTATCTTTGATATGAACAACATTACCTTAACTATATCTACTCAAATTGAGAGTGTTTGTTAAATTTGGAGATTTATTTTTCATTCGCAACTATTGCATGCAATGAGCAGCTAATTGTTTGCACATTGTGTGCATTGGGCAAGCTATATTGCCAATTGCACGCAATGGGCAGTTGCACAGATTTGGTGTAACATGTACGTCTGATGTGTGCATTGTAAGTATAAGAGATGAGAGTACTGTTCATTGTGAGTGAGTGAGTGAGTGAGTATGGTTTTACGCCGCTTTTAGTAATATTCCAGCAATTTCACGGCGGGGAACACCAGAAATGGGCTTCACACATTGTAAACATGTCAGGAATCGAACCCGGGTCTTCAGCGTCACAAGCAAACACTTTAACCACTAGGCTACCTGACCGCCCCTCATTGTTTATGGAAAAACTACCATTTCCCATAGTAGTGGTACTTTCTAGCTAGGACTCACTGTCGCTCACTAAAAAAGCAGCATTACATATACATCATTTACATGTCAGTTTGGTTAGTCGTCTCAAATGTGGGACTGAATCTGGAGAAGGCAAACCAGTCGTTGATATTGTGAGCACCAACCACTGCTTGGGTATGAAGAGATCCTGCTCAGGATAAAACCAGGATCTTCTCAGACCAAAACACTCTTGAGTTCTCCGAGGTGAGGATTCCCTGGTAGCCCTCTGGTATGTGACACAAAAGGAAGCATAAGGACCTAATCCTACCTTCACTTCCAAACTTGTGCAGCTGCCTTGTCGACCTGGTCCCATCCTCTCCATCCACTATAGGCATGAGGGCTATCTGTGGAGAAGGCAACACTGCTATTAGACACAGAACCACTGATGAAGAATTGACTTCAATATTTTTACACAAAGTGTGCACACCAGATTTTAAATGCAAAAAAACTTCAATAAATGCAAAATCCTAATGAGTCAAACTTATAAATAAATATGTCAATAATAATAACTTCACTGAGTGCTTATTTAATCATTAACTCAAAAAAAAACCTGTAGACATCAATACGACATCAGTTACATCATTTAGCAAACTGATGCAACCCAAGTCCCACCCACCCTATAATCAGCAAATCAGGAAACGGTAATTAAACCACTTGTGGCCCATTATTTGTTATAACACAATTGCAAAAAGAATTGCTTGGTTAGCCAATCAAATGCCATGGAATCACTTGCAATTTATTCATTACATCATGAAGACAGTTGGAGCTGGTACTACACCAATATGGAATTGAACCGGTATGTATTGCAAAATGTTTTAGCATACTGGTATGCCGATTTGGTTCTTTGACTGACAACAGGACACAAAATCTTTAAAACAGCTGTGAATGTGCAGCTTTGGAAGTAACACTATATTTTGGTTCAATTCAGCCCCAAGTCTGCAGCAAGGTCAGTAAACGTTCCAATGGCAATGAAAAGCTTCCCCCATTAATGTCATATATTATGTTATTACAGTCATAACTAATGTGACAGCTTGGTTGAGGTGACTTGTATTTCTCTGGTAACGGGAACCATGAAGAGGAAGAGGCTATAATACATAATTTCACATTATTGTAATGAATGTAATATTAAAATACAATGTTGAAATGCCTTTGAAATTGAGAAAATAACTTAAAAACAAGTTCAGCAGGATTACACTCTTCCACCCAATTTGCCTGCCAAGGACTTCACTTGGCATCCTAGACACACTAATCAGTGATAGTCAGCACTATAGTGTACCATGTATACTACTCTACTTTTGATACGGACATTTTATCCTTCCATGAGGGGGCACGGGTGGCCCAGTCGTCTAAGGCGCCACGATTCGCTGTGCAGAGTTGCGTCCCTTGGACACGCAAGAAACCTATGATTGTGGGTTCGAATCCCGGTTCGCCGCGATTATGTTTCTAGGTTTGTCAGCACCATACCCGTGCTCGTGGGTTTCACCGAAGTAGTAAACGTCTAAGGCCTGCATCACTTCGGGCTTTCCTCCCACATTAAGCTGACAAGTCGTGATGTAACTGGAATACTGTTAAAAGCGGCGTTAAACCCAACTCACTCACTCCTTCCATGATACACAAAACTGATTCTCTTAGTATGTCAAGTGTATATTTAAATAGAATGACATCTGATTATCCCTGTCAAGAATTGAGTAGTACATGTATGCAGGCATCTGTACTACCATATATGGCAATACGAAATGTGATGATACTCATGTCTCCTGATGACACACTTACACTGATCTGCACACCAGTGTGTTCAGCACTAGTAGGTCAATGATACTGGAATAATGATTCCCTAAAATTTGTTTGTTTGTTGTTTGACGCTGCACTCAGCAATATTCAAGCTATATGACGTCAGTCTGTAAATAATCAAGTCTGGACCAGACAATCCAGTGATTGACATCATTAGCGTCGATGCACGCAATTGGGATCGATGACATGCATCAACCAAGTCAGCGAGTCTGACCACCCGATCCCGTTAAAAACACTCATCTTGATGGGATGAAGCCCGGATTTTGAAAATGTACCTTTGGTTTATTTGGAAGATGATATACCATCAATAAATAAACCCTGACAAAAATAATCCCACATATATACTGTGCAGTTTTCCAGCTACGAGTAACTATCATCCTTTCATTATGTTTAAACATTTACGTATGACGCTGTCCGGGGTCAGGCCTTTTCACAACTACCTGTCTCCTGAATAACTGATGTTTGGTCAAGTACTAAGCTGCAGATTCAAAGTCTCGGACATGAAATAGAATTCTTATAATATTTATTCATCTAGAAATTACAATGTGTATTTACTTTTCTCATATGCCCTTCACGCACCAGTCACATACTCTATGACTCCAACAACGTGTGGCTACAGACAGACCTTGCATCACTCTATACTACCACTTGTTCAAACAAACTGCATTATCAAAGTAATGATATGTTTCAAATGCTTTAATGTACACATTGTTACTCCTGAGTTGGCAGAGAGTGTCTGGCTGAATCATCCAGGTTATTGAGTTAATACTCCCAGCCACCCAGGAGAACCATCCTGTCTACCCCACATCTACCCAACTGTCTACATCATACCTACAGCATCCTGTCTACCCTACAACTAGTCTAAATCATACCTACAAATTGCGAAGAGATCATTATTTGTTCAAATTTGGGATTTTATTAAAGTTCTTATTTACTTATATTCAGAGGTATTGAACACTGTATTTTAAGATTTGCATTAAAACCTCTTATTCTTTATTGGTCATGTTATAAGTGAAATAGAATGCCTCCACAAAGCCATACAATTAGTTCTTAGATCTAGTTACATGTATTAACATGAATTCGGAAATTTTTAATTCAAATTTGGGAATGTTTTAATGACATCTGTTTGCGACAAGGGACAGATTTTGGTCTCTGAGAATGTCTAGAAAAATCCCTGCTGTCTACACTAAAACTAGTCTACACTTTAAATACAACCTCGTCTTGTCTAAATTATACCTTTAACATTCTACCTGTAGCCTCAATCATAACTTCCTTTTTGCTTGTTTGTTTGTTGTTTAACACCACACTCAGCAATATTACACCTATAGGATGGGGGTATGTAAATAATCGAGTCTGGACCAGACAATTGAGTGATTGACATCATGAGCATCAATCTATGCAATATGGATACGATGACATCAAACACAGTATTTTCATGCACCCAGCCACCCGTGAAGATCCAGGTTAGAATAGGTCTTCAGCAACCAATGCTTGTAAGAGGCGACTGACAGGATCGGGGGGTCAGGCTCACTGACTTGGTTGATGCATGTCATCATATCCAATTGCGTGGATCGATGCTCATGATATCAATCACTGGATTGTCTTACAGCAAGCATGGGTTGCTGAAGACCTATTCTCCACCCGGATCTTCACGGGTCCCTAATTTTCATGAGTCATCCATTATGACTCACTCAAGACTGGGATAAAGCCTTAAATTAGTGTATATATACCCATCTACATCTTTGCTACAAGCAATACAGTCCTTTAAAAGATTGCAGTTATTTCTATTTTCCATGCTGCAGGTCAGGTCTTTTTGTTGCACATGACAGATAATGTGAATGCAACCCTTAATAGGGGTGGTGAACCTTCACCACAATATTTCATAGAAATCACACATATATATATATGTATATATAATATTTCATCACACAAATGTTTTTGAAACCTGAACAAATATATTGTCTATTGGCTTAATAATACAGTAGATTAGTAGCTGTAGGGTGGGTATATAGCTGTTGGGGTGGGTGTGCAGCTGTAGGTGTTGGTGTGCAGCTGTAGGGGTGGGTGTGCAGCTATAGGGGTGGGTGTGCAGCTGTAGGGGTGGGTGTGAAGCTGTAGGAGTGGGTGTGAAGCTGTAGGGGTGGATGTGCAGCTGCAGGGGTGGGTGTGCAGCTATAGGGGTGGGTGTGCAGCTGTAGGTGAGGGTGTGCAGCTGTAGGGGTGGGTGTGAAGCTGTAGGAGTGGGTGTGCAGCTATAGGGGTGGGTGTGCAGCTGCAGGGGTGGGTGTGTACCTGTAGGTGTGGGTGTGTAGCTATAGGGGTTGGTGTGCAGCTGTAGGTGAGGGTGTGCAGCTGTAGGTGAGGGTGTGCAGCTGTAGGGGTGGGTGTGAAGCTGTAGGTGAGGGTGTGTAGCTGTAGGGGTGGGTGTGAAGCTGTAGGGGTGGATGTGCAGCTGCAGGGGTTGGTGTGTACCTGTAGGATAGGGTGTGTAGCTGTAGGTGAGGGTGTGCAGCTGTAGGTGAGGGTGTGCAGCTGCAGGGGTGGGTGTGTACCTGTAGGATAGGGTGTGTAGCTGTAGGTGAGGGTGTGCAGCTGCAGGGGTGGGTGTGAAGCTATAGGGGTGGGTGTGCAGCTGTAGGTGAGGGTGTGCAGCTGAAGGGGTGGGTGTGCAGCTATAGGGGTGGGTGTGCAGCTGTAGGTGAGGGTGTGCAGCTGCAGGGGTGGGTGTGTACCTGTAGGATAGGGTGTGTAGCTGTAGGTGAGGGTGTGCAGCTGCAGGGGTGGGTGTGAAGCTATAGGGGTGGGTGTGCAGCTGTAGGTGAGGGTGTGCAGCTGCAGGGGTGGGTGTGAAGCTATAGGGGTGGGTGTGCAGCTGTAGGTGAGGGTGTGCAGCTGTAGGGGTGGGTGTGAAGCTGTATGAGTGGGTGTGTACCTGTAGGATAGGTTGTGCAGCTGTAGGGGTGGATGTGCAGCTGCAGGGGTGGGTGTGCAGCTATAGGGGTGGGTGTGCAGCTGTAGGTGAGGGTGTGCAGCTGTAGGGGTGGGTGTGAAGCTGTAGGAGTGGGTGTGCAGCTGCAGGGGTGGGTGTGTACCTGTAGGTGTGGGGTGTAGCTATAGGGGTGGGTGTGCAGCTGCAGGGGTGGGTGTGAAGCTGTAGGGGTGGGTGTGCAGCTGTAGGGGTGGGTGTGCAGCTGTAGGTGAGGGTGTGCAGCTGTAGGGGTGGGGGTGTACCTGTAGGTGTGCCGCTGTAGAGGTGTGTATGCAGCTGTAGAGGGTGGTATGCAGCTGTAGGGGTGGGTGTGCAGCTGTAGGATAGGATGTGTAGGTGTAGGGGTGGGTGTGCAGCTGTAAGGATGGTGGATCAGAAGTATGGTCAGACCCTTGGATGGATGTGCATTGTAGATGTGAAAAACATTAGATAGATGGTGAGGTGAAGTGTTTTTCTCTCTTCAGTTACATGTGGATGGAGGTTCATGGAGACGGATCATGGATTGACAAATGGGTGGGCAAACTGATAGTGATCTATTGAGATGTGAGGACAATCTATGGATGT